GCAATCATTTGTGTATTCTAAATTTATTATTATCAAGATTAATAACACTGTTAGCAATATTATCTAACTAGCTGTACCCAGCCACGTGTTGCTGTGGCTCAATCTGGTAAAAGCATGTGTTGCTTTTACGTCCAACAGATGGCGCTGTTTTTCAAAAAAGCATGTTTTTACCTGTCACAGGTGTGACATCTATATAATATAGGTATATAAAAATACGCGCGTGTTCGAATGCAACGCTGTGTCAAAATTTCAAAGCAATCGGTGAAGAACTTTTGGAGATTTAAGATTTTGAACAAACGAACATTTACATTTTTATTTATATAGATTATCCCACTTTCAACCTATCAAACTTTAATTTCCTTCTGGAGAAAGCATAAATTCATCGGTACTTTAAGTTTCAGAGTTCTTACTGTATTTGGAACAAAGGATTTGCCATGTGATGTGGGTCTATACATAAGTTGTATATAGTATGTTTTAGGTGTGTGTCATGTATGTGTTTCACTTTGAGAACGGGCAACTAAATTTCATTTTTGATGTGTGCCGTTGTGCCCACAGTAAAAAAATGACAATAAAGGTTATCTAATCTAATCTAATCTTTTAAACCTGTCCAGGTTGGGCTTGCAGTGGTCCATATGATTCCATATAATACAAATTAAAACACTATTTTTGTATGAAAAGCATAGCTTTAGAAAACAAATCCTAGGAATGTGTTCTGTTAAAAAAAGATAAGAGATAAGATAACTTATCTTAAGATAACAACTTCATTATAAATTAAAACGTTTAAGTGAATTGGGCAAAGCCCTCAAAATGTTTCAATTTTTAAGTCATTTCTCTTTCCATTACTTTTAACCATTCTCACAAATTTATATTTTCTATCATTTCTTGATAGTACAGGATGGGTCAAGCAATATGAAATAATTCATTTCCACTAAACAAGCTATATTCCTAGCAATAATTAGCAATAGCTCCTATTCTAACCTCCTATTGCAATACTAGACAACACAGTATCAACAACAGTAGAGACTTTCACGTTTCTCGGTTCGATAATCTCCCAGGACTTGAAATGGACACCTAACATTAGAACCATCATCAAAAAAGGCACAACGAAGGATGTTCTTCCTGCGCCAACTCAGAAAGCTCAGATTGCCTGAGGATCTGTTGAGACAGTTGTTCTACGGAGGAATTCTTCAGTCTCTCATTTGCACCTCAAGAACTGTCTGGTTTGGCACAGCAACCCAACAGGACAGGACACAGATTTCAACCGATAGTTAGGACTGCAGAAAAAACAATCGCAACCAGCCTGCCTTCCATTGAGGGCCTGTATATTGTGAGGTGAGGAGGGCTGAGAAAATATCGAGGCCAGGCATCTCCAACCCCCGGTGTGTGGACCGGCATCGGTCCGCACAAACAAGCAAAGCCCCATCCATGGGATGCAGGCAGCACACGAAACCATGCCCTCTCCGGTCCACGGGAAAAAACTCATTCAACAAAACTTTTTTGCCCTCAAGGAAAAACAGTCCAGTTGCTTTTTGAAAAAAAAAAAAAAGGGGGGGGGGAAGCACTTTTTATTGGAATACAATATTATTATTATTTTAATCAAAAGTATTAACAGCGGCTGGGCCAGACTGTTAATTAACAGTCTAGCCCAGACTGTTGTAGCCTCTGTTCTCTTTGTGCCAAAGTGGCTACTAAACATGTTTGCATATATATAGACACGGTATGTAATAAAAGTTCTAGAGCAGTGATGGCGAACCTTTTAGAGACTGAGTGGCCAAAAACTGGCCCCGCCCCTGCTCTGCCCCACCTCATCCCCTACCCCCCCCCTGCCCGCAGGGCCACTCACCGCCTTCAGGGCCCGCAGCAGATTGCCCAGGCAGCCCAGCAGTGCCATGGCAGCCACACACTCTGCCTGCGCCCCGCAGCATCAACTGTGCGGGATGGGGCCTGTGGGCAGTCTTGTCTACGCTGCCTGGCTGCCATGTCCTTGGCTGCGCTGTTCCGCGTGGGCCACGCTCGGGGGCGACTCTCCTCCTGGGGGGCTGCTGGTGAGGTGGGGGGAGGTGAAGCTGGGGCAACGGCACATGTGCCCACAGAGAGGGCTCCGAATGCCACCTCTGGCACCCATGCCATAGATTCACCACTACTGTTCTAGAGCAGGGGTAGTCAACCTTGGCTCTTTTATGACTCGTGGACTGAACGTTGATTGTTGCTTCTGCCATTCCCCCCCCCCCCCAGCTGCTCTATGTTTTCCATTTTTTTGGTATCATTTTTAATACCACCTGGAA